CTTAGTGAAACCATGTTGACTATCCTATAAAATTTGAAACTTTTTAAATGACTTTGCAAAGCATCTTTTAACAGACTTTCCAAAATTTTTCTCACAACTGATGTAAGACTAATGGGTCTACAATTACTGGGACAATTTTTATCACCTCCCTAAAAGCACCCAAATTTGAAGAAGGATGTCATGAAAATGTGAGGCCAGAAATAAAATTCAAGGAAAACAACTGAAAATTTTGCTTAGATTTTTCTCTGTATCATGTCTTTTAGTATTTTGTCATATCCAAAAACCTGTTTGAGTGTAATGCACATAAATATAATCATATTTAAAAGTATCTATTAGTTGTTTTAATTGAAAATATCTATTAATTGTTTTTTGCTTTGAGTGCCTTCTACAACCCCAGCTTAAATTCTCAGCAAGTTTCTGTGTAGCAGAAACTTGCCTTGCTTGTGCCAATTACTGCTGCCTAAATTAATTTTCTCTGTAACCCTCTGATCTTTTTTAAATATTGAAGTGCATATTTAAAAAAAACTTAAATGTGATTCATTTAGATTGTATGGATACAGATGGTGAAAGATAGTTTTTTCTGTGGGCTTGAACACCTAAATCTTCTCTTAATATTTAAGATCTTTCATTTTATATTTCATTCAAATTTTAGTATCTGTAAAATTTTTAGTTGATAGTTATTTCTTTTTCTTATAACATTTGTTTATTCATAACATAGCACTAATGTTGTGATGAACTATACTGAGATTGAAGCCAAAGTTCGAGAAACTACCAATGATGACCCTTGGGGTCCCACTGGACATCAGATGCAAGAAATTGCACAAAGTACATTTTCATATGAGCAATTTCCAGAGGTTATGGGAATGCTATGGAGGCGAATGCTGCAAGATAAAAAAAATTGGAGGAGAACATACAAGGTAAAAACATGTACATGGTATTATAAAAATTAAAATATTGTAAGTACTACTTTATAAAAAATGTTGTTATATATAATTGACTAAAGGAGGATATAGGGTTTCATGTTCAATTCATTGTAAAAGCGACAATTTTGATGATTTTGAGAATTTGTATAAATATTATATAAGCAATATTTATTTCTAAACTACTTGTGTATGATATATATTTGTTTATAAAATAAAAGGCAGTAATCAGAAATGCAAAAATTCAAACCATTCATTTTTACAGGTAATTATTATGTGAGTAAACATTTTAGCTTTACTGTGATTTTTTTCTTTCTACTGTATTTTATACACATACTGTCCAGATGGTGTTTTTTTTTTACTTTAGATACATTAGGAAATATGAATAAACTAATTGATAGGATAGATAAAGGCAAGGAGGAGATTGGAAAAAAAGAGGTTTAGAACATAAATAATAGCTTAATTATAAGTCTGTCAGATTTAAAGATAAATATAGTAGATTCAAGAATATGCTTAGTTGCTTTTATTTTTATTTAATGAGTATTAGATACTAATTGAATGTGTTCAGGGCTCTAGTTGAATTGGAAAACTGATATAATGGAAATTGCCTAAACTTTAGATTTGGAGAATATTGATCATAGGAATTATTCTGGAATCCCTGATTGTAAGTTACTTAATAGTGATAAACTTTTAAAAAATGTGTGAAGATTTATAGATGGGTGGGTTTTTATATACATAAGGGGTGAACTACAACTTTGTAGGATTGAATACATACAAAATGGTAGTTGATAGATTAAACTCTTTGGGTTAGAATATTTTAGAAGCACACCTAAGTGAAAGTGCACATGCCACAACATTTTAGTGTTATATTCAAAAGTTGATTAAATGACTATTATCAATTTATGTCAATAAATTTGGCATCAAATCTTAGGAAATTGACTATTTGAGTTTCAGTTAGTGGATATAGGAAGAGAAGGATTTTAGCTGGAACTTGGAATAGACTACCAGATGAAAATGATGAAATTAATGAGATATATTATGGTGAGATTAAGATTTGATCTGTTAATGAGGTCATAATGGTGGGAGATTATATTTCAGGCATATTTATTGTTAATTTCTAATATAGAAATGGTTGAGAGGGTAGAGATTGGGGAATATCTGGGTGCAAGTGATCACTGCTTAATTAGGTTTGATGTGTTACTGCATATGAAGATCAGGAATAATGAGACTTTGGTTACAAATTTCAAAAGAAAAAATTTGATGGGATATGACAAGAATTATCTAGTAAATTGATCAACTGAATTAACTGGAGATATTGATCAAATGTGGAAATAATTTTTAAATGTTCAAGATGGACATGTTCCTTATAGAAAAAAAAAAAGGGTTACCGTAAGTATGTGAACAGGATGACTCACAAAGAGTATGAGGGATAAGGTCAAAGAAGAGCATTATAAATTCAAGAAGTCTAAATTGACTGCCATGATGGGAGACTTAGAGGATTGTAGATCAAGAGAGTGGGTTCAATAGGCCTTAGAAAATTGAAAAGTGTTTAGTGTAAAAGGTTGGTTGAAAATGTAAAATTAATAGTAAGAATTTGTTTTAAATATATTAAGTGTAAGCAAAATGTTAGGATGGGAGTAGGGTATTTGAGGAATGATAATGGATGGCCCACTTCTGATAATTATGATAATTAATAATTCTACTTTTTCCTTCAGTTTTTGTTAATGAAGATTTAAACAATTTTCCTCATCCTGAACAGATGCTAGATGGAAACAAGATGATCATATTCATTATGAAATTAAGAAAAAATTTAAAGAATGATAAGGTTTCTGGACCAGATAATATATCCCCAATAGTTTGGTGGAGGTAAAGGATTAGATATGTGAGCCACTTGCTAATATTTTTGTAAGTTCTTAAATAGAGGGCAGATGCCAGAAGATTGGAAATTGGCTGATGCTACTCTTATTTTTAAGGGAAATGATAAAAATTGTCCAGGTAATTATATGTCTATTAAGTTTTACATCAGTGATGGGAAAAGGTTTTGAAAGTCTGATAAAAGATGCTTTGGAAAGTCATTTAACAAAATTTAAACTTTTGTTGGATAGTCAAAATGTATTCATTAGGTGAAATTCTTGCCTTACGAATCTTTTTACATCCTTTGAAGAGATTACTGCTTAGGAATGAGGGTAAGGGTGTGGATTTGATGTATCTTGATTTTCAGAATGCATTTCACAAAGTTCCTCATAAAAGGATTGTTAGAAATTTGTCTTCATAGGTGTGGGGAGATAAGTTGGCTCATTTTTTTTTCTTCTGATTTTTCACAAAACATCATACGTACTTTTACAGAAGTGAATCATTTTCATTGAAATTGGGTCACATTTTGTTTTGCATAGAATGTTAACAACCACTGGCTATAGATCTCTCTAGACTAGCATTTCCCAAACTTTTCGAACTAGGGACCGGTTTATTTTTGTAATTTTTCATGGAGCCGGCCTCCTCAAATACCTAATTAGATAACCCGCTAAGATATGGCTAAATCATATCATCAAGCTGGAAGCACTAGTTCTATCAATGCATCATTGATTATAAAATATACAGATAATGGTTGGAGACGGCTTGAATGGGTAATGAAGAAAAACTTTAATATAAGGTTTTGTCGCAAACATTGTACATTTGCTGTTATGTTAAACTTATATTAAAGTTTTTTCTTCATTACCCATTTAAGCCGTCTCCAACCATTATTGGGCTCAAAGTGGGTTCCTCGTTATTGAATTTGAAATATACAGGTGTTATATAGTACTACTGTGTAAAAAGAAATAAAAGAGATTATACTTCATTGTTATTTAATCTTTTTGTTCTTAATGTTATATATTTAGAACTGCTTAGCCTTTGGAATAATCATGTAATATAATTAAAAATTTTTTACTTTTTTTTTTTTAAGTCTTTATTAGTTTTAGCATATCTTGTAAAAAATGGATCTGAACGTGTCGTCACAAGTACCAGGGAACATATTTATGATTTAAGAAGTCTTGAAAGTTACCACTTTATAGATGAATGTGGCAAAGATCAAGGAATAAATGGTAAGCTTTGAGACCTTGTATTTATTTATTTTCCAAAGATCCTTAATTTGGAAAAAGTGTCTTGGCTTGGAAAAATTTCGTACATAAAGAATGAAATGCAACCTTTTCATAGATTTTTTACCCTTTAGGCATGCCTATTGCTGTATGGCAACCACATAATGTGATTTGAATGTCCTACTAGAAATGAGAATTGAGCACACAAAATCCGTAGACAAAACCTAATCTGCACGAATGATGATTTCAGCTACTGATTTGCATCCCACATGGCCTATGTTGCTATTCAAAATGTTGGTAATATTTGCATTCGGATATGTACTTCCCTCTGCTCACAAGATTAGCTATTCTCGTCCAGTGATGCCATCTATGTGCATATTTTTCTTTATATATGCCATAAACCTTCAGCTACTCTCCTACTGGAATCGAATGATTCCAACATGTCTCTCATGTAAATCATAATGTGTTACTTCTCCACTAACAGGAGTGTGACATACTCATAGGACGCATGTCACTCCCTTTGTATGTCTCAACCGATCTATCACTTCTCCTTTGGCAATACTTATGCTTGGATGTGTTCCTTTTTGTTTGTTTAAAATTTCATGTTTGTCTTTAGTATACTCACGAAGTGGTTTTCATTTATTTTCACTTCTAGTTTTGATTAAACTGTTTCTTAACTTGACTTTATTATAGTTGCAATTGTTATTTATACTTTTGATTATTGGTTAACACTTCCTCATTATGAATTCCAAAGCTCATGTTACCACTTCGGGGTTCACACCTGTGACTAGCACTATGTCTTACACCTCAGGTGTGGGCTAATCAGTGGGGAATTATCCACATTTATTCATCAGGAGATTGAATGTTACATGGGTTATCCTCTGTCCCTGGATCTCACTCCACTTTCTCCTGAACAAGCTGAGCCTGTTCAGGTGGATGAGGACTTGGATCACCTATTTTGACCTCCTGATTTTGTCTGCCTTCCCATGCCTCGCCTGAGGAGTCACTTAGGCTTAATACGGTCTTTTTGGATTTGTTTCTCAGGTATGTGACATTTTATCTCTTTCCCCTATTTTCTATGAACCTGGTCCTTCCTTACTACACGACCAATATTTCCATCCCTATTTGGTTTATCCCCTCCCCCCCTCCCCCCCACATATCTGGTACAAGCTGACCAATTTGCCTCACAATTAAGTGATGGGATTAGCATTCCTCATCCCCCATGGGCTTCTGATCAGTTTGATCTTGCATATCATTGTACAGACTGCCCTTTTCTGGACCAGCAATTGTTAGGTTCCATTATGTGGCTCCATATCTCCTGTAATCATTGTTATATTGTCTGCACGGCTTCCATCCATGGTACCCGTTCCCGACTCTATCCCTTGGCAGTCTTCCATGTTTGGGATCTTTCCCCTTCTACCTTAACCATTTGGGTTCCACTTTTGATTCGATTGGCTTATTTCTCCTTATCTTCTTCCTCCCAAAATTTGTTCCAGGTGTCTTCTTATCAGATTCTACACCTCGCTTTTTCTTTTGCATCTTGTCTTTGCCGGGCATGTGGACTACATCTATATGTTCATCTCCCATTATTTACACCATATCTCGGTTTCTTCTTCATCAGGGTTTCGTCTTCCACCTGTGGCTGTTCTTCAGGTTTCAGTGCGACTTTGACTGGGTAAGTTTATATTCATATAAACTTTCAGGTGTGCTTGCTTAATTTACTCATTATATGCATCCCACTCTGTGGAGAGTGGTGCCTGACTGGTATTCTTCAACTTGAAATCTGCACTGTACAGCTATGTTGACTCGCACTTTATCTTCCGTGGCTTCGCAATGCTCACTGTTGACATGGGGTGTTCCACAAGATTGCTTGTAGGTGAATAACCTTGCAGTATAATTGCTTCATAAACTTGCCTGTTCTGAATCATACCACCCATGGACTACATGGCTAAAGCAGAAGGGGATAGCTGCCCATCCCTGCCATGCCTTGTATTGAATAAATTGGTATGGTCTGCTTATAAAAACAAGGTTTCGTGGCCACCCATTGCACTATCTCAGGTGATGATGATGTTCCTCTGGACTCTACACCACATTCTTTTACTCCCATTTCTTCTAATGGAGTATGGGAGTCCTTACCTCTTTCCAGTTCCAAGCCACTGGGGTGATTGACTGTGGAGGCACCCTTGTGAATGGGTTTTATACAGAGATAACTATAACCTTTCAGTACAGAGTAGGGCAGTGGTGTTCTTTAGGTGTAGATGATGTGTTATCCTCCAATATGCATAATACATTCACAAAGGAGTGAGATGTCAAATTGCAGTTCATCCCTTCAATTGGTAGCCCTCATGCTATCTCCGCATGGATGTTGGTATCCCATGGCTGGGTTTTGGATTTAGAGTAGAGCCAATCAACATAAGTCCTCACACATGTTTATGGTTGTCTATATTACTCCCTTGATCATACTCCTTCTGTGTTGTGGGTCACAATGCAAGTAAGGGGGATTGTTTCGGTTCTATCCTTTTTACTATCCCTCATTGTATCTTATTTCAAAGATGTTACTGCTTTTCAGATAGTCCCAGTCAGTTTTGCTGTTGGGGGAGTTGATTTATATTACATAGACATCCTTTCACTACCATATGTTAGATCCCCAGATTGATAGATCAAAGTTAACATGTGCCATGCTCCGGAATCAGAGTGGTTCTATATTTCCCCCTGGTCTCTTAAACTTGAGGTGAAGATGGTATGATTCTCATCCTACCCCTGCATGTATGTCGGTTCCCAGTGATGTGGGTTTTGGATATAGTTGACTTACCGAGCACGGTCCATTGTGCCCTAGCCACTCTACACCTAGGGGCACATCCATTGTTTTACCCACTTTTAGACTTTGTAGGATTGAGTTACATATATATTTACATGATTAGGATCATTATCCTGCCACAGTTCTCTCCCACTTGGATGTGCTTCTCTCTATTTCTGCCCTTATCTACTACATATTTCACAGATGGGCAAAGAGTATATCTGTTTCAGAAGTGGTGCAGTTCCCCACATCAGATCTTTGGATTTGACTCTCTCATTTCCAGAGGTATCCTTCAAATGTTTTTGGGGGTACTTCTGTCATTCCCTCACACTGGTCCCACCACTTAATCAATGTGGGATTCTAGCTAATCTTGTGAGAAGAGGTAAGTACCATATCAGAAGTTATAATTTTCCTATACTGAAAATGTATTTCTGATAGGTACTTCCCTCCTCTCACACTTCCCACCTTTCCTCCCCACATTCCTCCGGTGTATACGTCTTTTGCCAAACCTCGAAGAGAGTTCTGTAGAGGCATGTAGAGGGAGTCACATGCATCTTGATCCTATTGGTGGAGAAGTGATGCATGATGATTTACATGAGAGACATGTTGGAATCATTCGATTCCAATAGGGGGATCAGAAGGCTTGTGGCATGTGTAAAGAAAAATTTGCATATAGAGGGCAGCACTGGATGAGAATAGCTAATCTTGGGAGTGAAGGGAAGTACCTATCAGAAATACACTTTCAGTATAGGAAAATTATAATGTTGAAAACTGTTTATTTTTTTGAGAAAACAGACCCAAAATGACATGAAATCACTCCAGTGTTTTCACTTGAAGAAACAATTGAACTTGTGAAAGCTAATGATGATTCTGGTTCTGAATCTGAATTATCTGATGATTATTTTGAATGTGATATTACTAAAAAAAGTACATGTCTAAAGGGTTAATTTTGTCCTTTAGATGATTGGAGTACTTAAAGTAGGAAAAACTGAATATTTAACTTTTTCTGATAATATTTAACTGACAGGTACTATCAATAACTGTGTTAAAATTGTACACTGCTCTGCATAACAGTATTGTAAATAACTGTAAATCTAGCTGACTGAGATATAGGGAACAACCAGAAATAAAAAGAAAGTAATATAAAGTACTGATGAAAAATCATTCTTGTCAACCCAATCTTCTGGTGACTTAAAATACTTTATAGGTGTATGTAAAACACATTTGATTTGTTGAAGAACTGTGCCTACTAAATAAGTAAGTAACCTGAAATAATATTAACTACTTAACTGAAATAAATTCTATTTTATATTTAGAATTGCTCTGCAGTACACTTTTAAAGTATGCATGGATAGTGAAGGACATAAAAGAAATGAAACATTTAAAAAAAATATCTTAAAACAATTCATCAGCAGATTAGTACTCAAGAAACCATAAGAAATTTTTGAACTATTATATAAAACACTTGTAAAATTTGTTAGGATTTAAGATGGTTTTTATTGAGGTTCTAGTAACTAGTACATTGCAAAATCTGGAAGGAGAACGTGCATTTGTTTAATATGTATGGTTTATTTAAATGTCTTACTCACCACATATTTAGTTTTTGCATTTGCTTATATTTTTTAGTTCGACAAAGGGTCAAGGAACTCATTGAATTTATCCAAGATGATGAAAAACTTAGACAAGAAAGGAAAAAAGCAAAGAAATCAAAAGACAAATACATTGGGATGTCTAGTAATTCACAAAGTTCCAGGTAACTTTGTTTTTGCTTGCTGATTTGAAAGTTTTAGATTAATTGGTTCTCTATTTTTTCTCATTTGCAAATGATAACAAAGATATATTTGGCCCATGTAAGTTACAGGATTTTCCCTAACTTTTGAGAGAAGATACCCAATGAGAGGGTGAGCTCCTACTTGCATATTCAGGAAAGTGCTCTAGGATGAAGTGTAAGTGGACAATGTCCCCACTTGAAAGTGATTTTTAGTAATTTTGAGGGATTAAGAAAACCTCTTCTGGCATTGTATGTTTTGAAATATATGGTATTAGAGAAAAACAAAATTAAAGTAAAAACATAATAAATATGAGCATAATCTAATCTAAACTTTTATAAGGTTATCTAATTAATAAATTCCAACTTCTGAAGTTAAGTTTTATTCTCTTTCAAAAATCTAATATTGCACCATGACACACTTTCAACATTTTTCACAACATTCTAGTCTAATGTGACAAATAAAGTTCACTTTTGTGGTGCACAATGTACATGGAAGGTGTAACTTCAGTTTACCCTGCTGTGTTTGAAACTTAGGTCAAATAATTTGATATTGTGGTAGTGGTCTTCTTTCTTGAATGGGTTCTTTTTGATTATTTGGTAAACATAAATACATTTGTTCATTTGAGTTATCTATAAGGTAAGTTATTTACTTCTATCATGTTCTACAGGCTACCTTTGCTTATATGTCTAACTCATGCATAACTTTAAAAAATTAGTTACTCACAAACTTGATGCCTTGGTGAAACACAAAATCATAATTTTCTATAACAGTAATGAAAATATACTGGACTTGGCTAGAAAATGTGAAATACTACAAACACATACTGACACTGGCTAACTCAACTAACTCTTAATATCTTACTATGCTTAAATATATGTATTTCTAACACACACACATATATATATATACACACACACACACACAACAAAAACATTATAATGAAACCAAAATTCAAAATTATTCTTCCATTTTCAGTCCTTATTGTCATCCTTAGTTATAGTGAATAATGTCTGTAGCCATGGCACCCGAACGTTTTGGGGATATTCAATCTATCAGACAAGATCCTGATGCCAGTGTCAAACTTGCCGGCAACTAAGGAGAATCAGTTAAGATTTGGAAGTTGAGTGCCTGAACCCACAGTGTCTTAACTCTTACTGCCTTTTGCAGTTTCCAGCCAATTATATCTAGATATAACCTTAAAGCATAATTAAATTGCCCTAAAATTCTACAATGTAAAATTCCCAACCTCCTCCATTTTATTTAATATTATGAGATATGAAAAGCAAAAGATATTCTTATAGTAGAAATAAAACACCCTATATTTCTACAATGGAGGAGGATGGGTGCTAAAGAACTATTAAGGTAAGGGTTTTTAGTTCTGTTTAACACTGCTAATTATTAAATAAAAGGGTGGAGGTTGGGAGTTTTGTAGAAATATAAGGTAATCTTATTTGTTTAGGATACTATATCATTTATAACCAGTAGGAAGTCAAAGTTTTAACCTGTTGATTGACATGTAATGCTATGTTTTCAATACACAGTATTGTCAATTTTATCTATAGTTTATGTCACGGTGTTCAAATAGAGCAGCTAAAGGAATTAATTTAAGCCTCTCTTATCCTAGTTAGAAGGTCAGTTAAATCATAATATTTATAGGACAGTGTTTGCTTTGTGTGTGATATTATTCTGTGTTCTTATAGGTGCATTATTTAGGTAACTAAAAATTATCTAGTTTAATAGTACCATCATCATTATAGACAAAGTAGGCTTAAATTTCATCAGCAACTGACAACAAAAAAAACAAGATCAATGTAAATATTATATTCTGATATGGTATCTTACCTCTTCTCACATAATAGCTATTCTTGATCATGCCTTTAATCCCTTTCTTGACTTCCAGCTGTTGGAATCATTTTTGCCTTTGTGGTGGGCAGATCCTATGCATCCTGTACACTTATCCCAAGCCCAGTTTCCTGTCTTCATCTTCAGATTACATTTCTCATTTACACATATCTTCATGACCTGTAAATGGCCCTTTTTCATCATAGGTTTTGTTTTGGAGATATTCCAGAATCTTTGAATTACCTATAGAATCTGTGAGGCAACAGCCAACCCTTTCCTCCTTGGTTGCTCGTTTGTCTCAGCTTGCTCCCATACCTTACTCTATACCTGCTTCTCGTCCTTCACTTTTCCAGCCTTTGTCTTTGTTCTATACCTCAAGGTCCGTTGGTCCATCGTTTGACTCGCAGTCCTACTTTTTACTGCCAACATTTCTGGCAACTACCTGAGGAAGCACGTTTGTCCGATTTGTTCACCAATTGCATGAGTTCATTTCCGACACATGAATAATCAGGGACTTGTCAGATGAACTTTTTCTTTCTTTCCTCTCCCCTCTTCCTTTATCTCTGGTTCCAATATCCTTCCCTTTACCTTAGGATCCTGCTACCAGTTCATGTTTATTTGAGGCTGTTCAGACTTCTTTTACAGTGTGGTATCAAGCCTGTTAACCAGTCTTCCCTAGGTTTTTCCTTTAGGCTTTTTATTGTTCCCAAGAAGACAGGGGACTGGCATTATGTGATTGCTCTGTCCTACCTCAACCAATTTCTGGATCTTCCCTGCTTTATCATGGAATCTTTTCTCACCCTTCAGTGGGCTTTTTCTCCATGTCTGTGGATGTCTTGGACACTTACCTTCATATTCACATTTCTCATCAATCCCAATGCTTTCTTTAGTTTTTCCACAATGGGTTTGTATTTCAGTTTTGTGCTTTACCTTTTGGGCTTGCTTAAGCACAGTATGTGTTTTGTTAAGTGGTCAAAGCTTTTGCCAGACTTATGATCGAGGGTTGTGCTTCCACCTCAACATGGATGTCTGATTTCTGTTAGCTCCTTCCAGACTTGTGTCTTCTTAACACACTCGTCTGCTATTGACAGAAGCAGCTCATTTGGTTGGATTATCAAGATAGAAAAGTATTTCCTGAATCCTACCTAATATCTTGTCGACTTGGCTGGGTTTTTCAACACTTACTTCAGACGGGCCTAACCTTCTCTACTTCGTCTGCTTTCGATGGAGCTGTCAGTTCTCTACACCATTTCTTCCCCCCCCCCTCTTTCTACACTCAAGGTTCTATCACTTTTGTGGACTTCCATAAAAGCCCTTATCCCCCTTGGGTCATGCACATATGCATTCTCTTCTGTGGATGTTGCACATCCAATGGAATGTTGCTTGGGATCCCTTGAACTCTCCAATCACTCATCTTCCTTCCCTTCTTGATGATCTCCATTGGTGGCTGAACAGGGACCACTTCCTCCTTCTCATCTGGATTTCCATCTGTTTACTGATTCTTCTCTTCAGGGTTGTATTAAGACAATTCCACCATTGGCTCTAATTTTAATTGCCAAGGAGGCACCTGTTCTCATTCCCTTTGCAGTCAAATATTGGAACCACTTTATTGCCCCCCCCCACCCCACACACACACACTGCAGATATGTTTTATAGCATGTCATGTTCCAGGTGCTTTCAATCTGGTGGTGGATTGTCTGAATTTTCAGGTTTTCCAGTGACTTTGCAATCACTGATTTACTCCTTATCTGTATGCTTTTGCCATTCCCCCAACACCAAGTTACCTCATTTTTGGTTTCCAATTCCTCACCCTCAGGCCCTGGCAGTGGATGCTCTCAGTTAGGACTGGATCAACCAGTACCTTTATGCCTACCCTCAGTTCCGGCTCCTTTCCATTCCACTCCATGTCAGGTTCTTCTGATTGCTCCTTACCGGCCAGCATAACTTTGGTTTTCTCTTCTTCTTCAGCTCTAAACTATGCCTCCTGTTACTTCTTTCTCTCACTCCAGTCCTCTTCCATCAACCTTGGTCAGTGGTCTTTCATTCTGCCATTCATACTCTCCGACTTCAGCCTGGTATTTATCTGGTTCCTTGTAAGGAGTTATTGATTGTCTTAGCATGTCAGTTCCTTTTGTAGCCCAGTTTGTTTGCGCTTCCTGCCTTGCAGTTTATTGACACCAGTTGAACATTTTCCACAATCTGATATTAAGCCATGGGATTTTCCATTTATGGCCCGCTATTCCTCTCCTTAAGGATTTTCTTACCTGTCTGTTTGACCATGGGGCTTCTGTCTCTTCCATTGCAAGTTATCGAGCAGCTTTGTCCAACACGTTTAATTTTTCCAGGTACCATGTTGTGTTTTCCTCTTCTACCATTTCCCTTTTGTTGCTTTCATTCCTGATTCATTAACTTCCTCATCAGGTGGTTCTTCCAGATTAGAATGTCAATATTGTTCTTCACTCTTTCTCACACTCCCTCCATTTGAACCTTTGTCCTTATCTTTCCTGTCTCACCGATCCCTTAAAACGTATTTCCTACTACTTTTAGCCTGTAGGCATTGCCAGTCTGATATCTTTGTCATCAACTGTTCCATTCTACATGTTCTTCTTTATCCGGATTAATATTCCCTACCCAAAACTTTGGCAGCTTATAAAGAACATTCATCCCGATTTCTCACCTTTGTTTTCAATCTGATCCGGATTGAATTCTATGTCCCATCCAGGCTCCTTTTTGTTATATTGCTTGCACAGCCTCCTTCTGTGGTTCTTGATCCCACCTTTTCATTCCCCTGGAACCTTTCTTTTTTTTGTGACCTTTCTCCTTCTACCCTTACAGGTTGGGTTCATCAGCTTGTTAGACTGTCGTATTCCTTCCTATCTCCTCCTTCTTGCAATTTGTTCCAGATGTTGTCACAGTCGATACAGCACCTTAGCTTTTCCCTGGTGTCTCACCTCCATTGTCCATTGGAGGAAATTCTTCAGTTGGACATGTGGACGACACCTCATTCATTCACCTCCCACTATCTTTATCAGGTGGCTGTTTCTTCCTCACCGGTGTACCACCTTTTGCTTGTTGCCATCCTTCAAACATCGGTTTGACTGTGACTTGGTAAGATATCTTTTTCCATATATTACTTTTGCTTATAGTGGCATGTCTCCTTTAGGTCTAGGATCCTGCTCAGTGGTGAGTTTTGCCTGTCCAGATATGCTACTTATTTATCCATTCCAAACATCTGCACTGTATGGCTGATCATAACTCATACAGGGATATATTATCTTCCACCTAGCGACTCAGTCGCTCCACCACTGTACAGTAGGTTTCTGAAGTTGAGGTTGTGCAGTTCCAGCTCTGATTGTCCTATGGACTGTGGTTACTTAGGAAGTCTGCTGGGGAAACATGAACTCCAGCCTCTGTGTAATCCTATCTGGTGGATGATGTTGCATGGGTTACACATGACTACCTCTGATTAAACCTCAAATTATACTTACTAATTTAGATAATGTTAGAAAAGGTAAACTAATGAAAAAAAATCTTCATAAGATATGCTTGTTAGTAGCTCGTGCATTACATAATCATGAACCACTATCATGCTTCAGAATAGGGATATCAAGGAATTGCCCAAATCTCTAATAGAATGTTCATATAGAAAGCACATTAAACAGTTAAGATTCAATTCAAACAACACCTTAAAATCTTTACTATTGACCACTAAGGCTATACACCTATAAAAAGTCACAAAAGCATGTATGTTAGACTTGAAAGGAAAAGAAAATCTGCTCAAAACTGCCCATTTGTATAATTCTTCTTCTTTTTTATTATTATTATTCTCATGCTAGCCTACAACAAAAATGGCTTGGTATATTGCACCCAAACCTTAGGTTGGGTACTCAATAAGGTACTGGGAAGTTCGTAGGTGTATTGAAAAGTCGATTTGTTTCTTCTGTATTTTACATAAGCTAAAAAACATCATAATTTTAGTGTAAATGATGTTATCATTACCCCTTGAAATTAGGTTTCTTACAATCATCTGGTGTTCCTTTAAAATCCTTAAGTACAGGGTGAAACGGGAATTACCAGCAAATAATAGATAAACAATAGATATTACAGTTGGAATCTCATTGTATTTAGAACTTAGTTATAAATACAACCTTCTTATGTCTATTGAAACACTGAATTAAAAAAACAAGCAAACAAGTAAAGAAAAAACTAAAAACTAAAACAGTAAATTTAAGGATGGCTAAGATCAATACTTCAAAAATAATGCAAACAAGATAGTAGGGATAGCATTTGCATTAAGTTGTCTTTTTCCTGCCTTCCTGGCCACCCCAAAATCATTCAATATATAGCATTTAAATCATAATTTTAGTGTAAAAAGTTATTATTACCCTTTGAAGTTAACTTTCTTACAAATATCTAGTATTCCTTTAACCCTTTTGCATCAGGCTCATGCAATTTGTAGAAATCTGGTCACGAATTTCACTTGTACAACAATACATGTGGTAACTCTAAGATTTCGTAATGTATCCTCTCAAAAACTTGTAAGATTTTGTTAAAGATCATAAGTATCTTGTATACAAAGAATGACATTATTATAATTAAGTGTTTTATTAAAAATGTATTATATTTGATTGTTACTTGCAGTCAAACTATTAACAAATCAAGTGCAAGGTGATTTTCATTTTAAGTATAGATAAAAAATAATATTAAATGTTATTACACACACTGTAGAATAATTACTTTAAAAGACACAAAAGTTTATTTAAAACAATGTTTTTAGATGTTTTATTTGAAAATGCTGCTTTTCTCCTGGTAAAATTTTATGTGTGATTTGTGGGTGTTGTGTTTTAGTGTAGGCGTATATTTGTCCATTGCTATGCATTACATATAAATAATTTAGTTATACAAAAACTGTAAATGCTCAGTATATTCTCAGACAAATCTCCATGACAATCTCCAGCTGCATCTTAACATTTTACATTAATGTGATCAAATAGTTAATAGCTTCAGTAAATCATCATGAAGCATTTCAGCTAGCTACTAGCTATGTTTACTATCATTACAATGTATAAATTTAGCTACCATATCAAGTAATCCTTTGCCAATAGTTGAGCATGAAAAAAGCCAGCAAACAAGATAAATAAGAAATTTGGAACTTATTGTGTTTGATTCAGTACATGAGTGATATCTCAGCAAACAAAAAATATATGAGGTTCTTATTTTATATTCTAGCTTGTCAATATCAGTAATTTGAGTTCCCAATTTGTACAAAAGTATAGACTTAGTATTTTTATATCACAAACAACTAATTTGAACCAGTGCTGCATTCAACATACCACGTGACACACAAAAATCGATGTTTATCTGTGTTTTTTAATGTACACTTTTAAATTAAGAAATTGATTAATGTATAGTACTAAAATTTTGAATTTAATCTGCAGTTTGATACCAAACGTATTCATGAAATAGTAGTTCAATAAAATTTTGAATGTGGGTCAACAAACAAGATGACGTGGACTTTCATCTGTGACCCATCTGGAAAGGGTTAAGATCTGCAGTTAGCTTCGAAAGAAAAAAAAAAAAAGAGTAATTTATATTTATTTTGTATTTTTTTATGACTGTTACCAGGTTGGACAAATTGACTGAGTCTACAGAGTTTAGGGTAAAAATATAAAGTTCTATGGAAAAAAAGTTTAATATTTATTTAGGTTTTAGAGATCATGCAAATGAAAGTTAAAATTTTCAGAGGAAGGAAAGTATTTTTAATTTTAACATGTAAATCATCTTGTATTTGGATCATTTTACTAAATTTACTATAAATTTAGTGTAAAGTTATAATTAAAGAAAATAATGACAATAATATAAATCTATATGTAATGCTAATAACAGTCTAGTTGAATGCAGAATTTTTCTGTCCATCACATAGAATAATTATTTTTACCACTATCTATTATCCATTACTTGGTTTCAAAGTATTTCTCTTAGCTTTTAACAGGAATAGGTTGCCACAATGTTATGTTGCTACATCAAGTGGTTTGGTCTTTTACTGATGAGACACAGTTTTGGAAGCAAATATGATTGGATACAACAAGAATTAGACTATCACATATTAATGGAATAAATATATAGGATTAAAAGGGATTTTTATACTTTATGTAAACATACCTTTTAGTTTCATTACGAATTGTTAAAGTATTTTTGTGTTAAATAATATCTGAAATCTACATAAGTGTCTTCAATAAGAAGACATTAGATAATTTGAGATAAGGTAGATAAGATTATACAGTTTAGAGATTGGTTGAATGGGTAACAGAGAAAACTATTACAAGTTTAACACAGTAACAAATGTATAACATCTGGAAAAGTTTTTATGATAGTCAGGTATAAGTAGTTTACCTAGACAGTAGACACAGGAAGGAATAAATATATATATATATATATATAGTATGAAACGAAAAAGTCACATGACTGGAGATTGCTTAAAGCTTAGTAAAGGTATCTTGATGATGTTTGGTTCTTTTTAAAAATCAGTGTTCTTAATAGATATATTATGATTTAAGATTATTACCCTTATAGGTGATAGTAAAATATCTTTTTGTTATTTGATTTCCACAAAATCAATGGAGGATTATTGGTTATTTTATAATCAAACAAAATGGCAACTACTTGGTCATCTTCAGTCAGTATTGGTGGTTTGCCAAATTGTGTTTTGCCAAAAATATATTTGCTTGCAAAATATGCAAGTGGCAACCTCCAAAACTGAAAAATAGGAAGAATAGTATCATTTTGGAATAATTAAGTGGTCCTTTAAAGCTTCTTGTTTTTTTTTTCCTTTGATGATGATTACCATGTATGGGGGAACATGTTTGGTGTTGTTAGGAAGACTGTACTAATTAATTAATGATTATCATAATTATTATTTAATGTTGTATAAGCAGGCATGGATCTAGAGGAGGGGTCCAGGTGGTTATTTGAGAATTAATAAACAAAATGTGATAGATAAAACATATTTATTCTTCTGTTTTTTACAAACATCATGATCAAACAATTGTAAAAACAAAAATGATGACATAATTCATCAGGTTCGTGGCTTCTAGGATTACTTGTTTCAGCAGTCGAATAAATTCCGTCATAACTGACATCTCATATTAGGTAGGGTGAGGTGTTGTATCATTAAATATTCCAGCTACTTATCAGCAGTCTTATTTTTCTCTAAATCTTAATTTTTGAAATTATTTGCTAAAAATAAAAAAATTAACAAACAAGAGGGAATTCTCAATAGCCTTGGCACTTGAAACTTTTTCAGGCAGGATTAAAGTTAATTAATCTGTGAGACCTTTTTTCCCTTTTTTATTACCTATATTTTTATGTACCAGCAATACCAAGCATGGGGCACTCATAAACTTGATTTGATTTTATTACTCATTAGGATCTCTACCATCCTACTCTCAAATTGAAATTCATTTAGGTAGGATTAAAGTAAATTAATCTATGAGACCTTAGGCATGATCAAATACATCAATCAGTTATAAGCTAAAAGTTTGTACTTAAAAAAAAAGTCACATCCATTTTATGGGCTGCTGTGCTGCTGCTAAAAAATTTAGTTTTTTATCTCACAGTGACATTTTTTTACATCGTACTTGACATTTATCTTAAAATTTGCCAGAATTTAAAATAGCTTTGCCATATGCCATCACTGATTTTGAAGATTGCTTATTTTATTTGTAGGTTTAGCTTATTTTTATAAGATTTCTAAAGTATGCTGAAAGTCACCTGTTTTATTAAATATAGGTATAAAGACAGGTATGAAAAAGACCTTTGGAAGGAAAAGGATGATTCTGAAAATTTCCAAAGTCATCAGAATACTGTGACTTCAAGATTTTCTTTGGATAAAGGCAAAAATTATGAAGACATTCCTGACAGGTGAGTAGCAGTGATTTGAATACTTAATTATATTTATTACTGATTTCTGCATACTAGTTCAACATTTGCTAAAAATCATATTTATATAATGTTCTATGTAAGGGAAATATAGAAAGAATAAGAAATGTATACATATTTCGATGTGTTACAACTAATGAAATTGGTTTATTAATAGGTAATGAAATATTATGCATAAATTAATGAATCTTGTCACATTTTTAGCTGCTTTTGATAAACTGGAAACTGTGGCACTTTTTTATTCCATGCAATCATTTTTCTACAGTAATGATGAGGAGAAAATATCAAATGAAAGTGATTTAGGAATAAGGGAGATAGATCTCAACTCTCCAAGGAAACAGAATATTAAAAACATTAATAAGGAAGACTCACCAGTGAAGCAAAAAGAATTAAAAAAGGTAGATTTAGGAGCTGCTGCCATGTATGGGAAAGTATGGGAAAATATATATGTAAGTTTTTTTATTTGTATGTACTTTGTTTTCTAAAGATCACATTTTGTATTGTTTTTATTTGCAGAGTAAAATATAAAAGTAATTTTTGACAGAATGTTTTAGTTTTTTTGCCTGAGGCATCACTATGCACTGGCACATGGGGCCATGTCCTAATTCTATTTAAAAGTACCTCGAATCTCCAGTAAGCATCTTGAAAAATCAGAATATTAAACCATGATCAATATCATACTGAAACACCCAAAATTCTTGCACCTATGGGCCCGAGCCTCGAATCTTTTAAGTACTTAGCAATACCTCTTTTTTTCACTTTTCCTGAAAATAAGTTATTCATTTAAAGTGGAATTGTTTTATAATATTTTACAATATATTAACCCTTTCTGGCCTAATAGCATTATTTTGCTCACTTTTGTATTATTTAGGAAAATTAATTACTTCTGAATGAAACACACACACACTCCAGACATAAAGCATTATAAATATTGAAAGTTTTTAAACCTAAGTTAGATTATTTTTGGTACATTTACAATTTGTGACTGAAATGAAAACCACTACATGACATTTTTGAATATGGTGAAGTTTCAGCCATTAACCTAAAAGCCAGTTTCACAAATACCTTTTTAGCAATAATACAATAATGATGCCATACTGTATAAATACTATATAAATACATGTATAAAATATTTTATATGTATTTGAAACTAATATGAATAGATAGTATTTCATGTAAACTACTTTAATTATGAAAGTTGCATCTTTTTTTTTTTTTTAAATTATATACAGCTGTTTCAACTAATGTGTAAGCTCATGCTGTAGATAAGTTCACTGTAAGATCCCTTAGTAACTACTTTAAAAAATAAGCAAACAGAAGAACCCACAAAATTAATTTAGGACACTCGTATAGCATACAAAAAAACAAAACTGTGATACAGTCAGATTATCTGAAGGAATTTAATTAGGAAAGACTTCACAGATGTAAGAACTAAAGACTTAGAAACTTACAACCCATGTAAGGAACAAATGAAGCCCTATCATAGATAGATTGTGAGGTAGAAAATAACCTTAGGTTTCTGATGATATATTTATGGTTTTATTACATTTTAAGCTAGGAAATTTAATACAAAGAAGTGCAGTCATTTGAATTTTACAGTTTTTCGCACCACCACCTTTTGTGTAATTTGCAGAAATCGACTCATGAATGTCATTTGTACAATAATATACTTGAGATTTTTTAAAGTATCTTCTCAAAAACTGGTAAAATTTTGTTAATGGTCATAAGTTTCTTGTAAACAAAGAATGACATTATTATAATTGTTTTTACTAAAAATATGTTATTTATTCATTTTAGTTACTTGCAATCAAACTCAATAAATCAAGAGCAAGATGATTTTTATTTTAAGTATAAAAATACTTTTTTCATCTTATAGTTTCATATTTCATTTGCATAATCTTTAGAACCTCCTAAAAGAATATCAAAAGTTTTTAAGATAAATGTTTATATTTTATTTTTAATTTTCTTAACT